CTGCTGCTGCTTGGCCTGCTGTGTTCATCACATTCTCCAGCATCTGCAGTTCCTACTATCTCCCATTGAGGTAAACCTGCTTTACCACCTTATCCACCTATTGTACCCCCCTTTAGGGATCTGGGTACTCCAAGGTTTCTCACATCCTCTACCCCTCTCAGTACCCCTCATTAATTATGGATTCCCTTTGCTCTCCCCAAATGCACAACCTGCACTTCTCTGGATTGAATTCCATTTGCCCCTTTTCCGCTCACTTAGCCAAAACATTGATATTCACCCGCGCTGGGACAGTGATTCCCTGGCCACATTTTGTGCTTTCTGTAAACCTCCCAATCATTGCCTCCCACATCTCAATCTAAATTATCACTATATGTCTCAGACAGCCGGGGACCCCAGACCGAGTCCTATAGAACACCCGCTTGAAACTGCTTACCATTTACAAAAAAAAACATCCTTCGACCCTTACCTGTAACATTTAATCCTACCCTCAGTATAATCCAGTAGCCTGCCCCCGCTGAAACTAACTGTCCTACAGTTATTTGATCTGTCTTGTCTCACCCTTTTTGAATAACAGTACAACGTTCGCAGATCTCCACTCCTGTTACCTTGCCTATTGCTAGTGAGGATTGGAAAATGATCCTAACCTGTTACTTCCTTTCTGGCTTTCTTTAAAATTGTAGATCCTAAGTGATTTACCCATCTTCAAGGAGGCCAGTCCCTCCAGTACTACCCTTCTTACTAAACCTATTTAATCTATCATTTGGCATCCCCCTTTCTTTAAAAGTTTCGCATCTTCCCACTCCTTTGACCATGAGACTCTAAGAAATGGGAACAGGAGTAGGCCATCTGGCCCCTCGAGCCTGTTCCACCATTCAATAGGATCATGTCTGATCTGACGTTCCTCATGCCCACTTTCCTGCCCTTTCCCCATAACCCTCGATTTCCCCGACTGATCAAGAATCTATCTATCTCAGCCTTCAATATACACAAGGACCCTGCCCCCCACAGCTCTCTGTGGCAGGAAGTTCTAAATACTTGTAACCCTCTGAGAGAAGAAATTCCTCCTCATCCCAGTCTTAAATTGGTACCCCTTTATTCTGAGACTCTGCACCCCTCCCCCCCTCCGGCCGTTCATAGAGTCATACAGCACAGAGACAGGCCCTTCGGCCCAAACAGGTCCATGCCGACCCAAAATGTCCATCCACGCTAACCCCATTTCCCTGCACTTGGCCCATATCCTCCTAAACCTTTCCTATCCATGTATTCATCCAAATGCCTTTTAAATGTTGTTAATGTACTCACCTCAACCACTTCCAGTGGCAGCTCATTCCATGTGCGTACCACCCTCTGTATAAAAAAAAAAAGTTGCCCCATACTCTCCCATGTGAAGACGGAGACAAAATACTTTTTAAGAATCCATCCACATTTTCTGCATCCACACACAATTATCCTGTACATTACTAATAACCCCAACACTTTCCCTAGTTCTCTTCTCAATGTACTGATGAAACATATTTTTAACCTGCCAATATTTTCTTGTATCCTCTTTTTGCTTTTCTAATTTCATTTTTCACTTCACCCCTGTGCTTTATACACTCCTCTAAACTTCCTGATATTTATATTTTTTGAGATTGCCGTAATATTTTTGGTTTTATCTGACCCTGAATGCTTCAGTAGCGCTGTTTTTGTGTATTGCTGAAGAAAAGACACATTTTTTTCTGTCTTGCACTCATCAGGACACTTCACAAGAAAAGCAATTCCCTGATGACAGCAAGATGAAAATTGTTAACAAAATAAGTCCTTTATCGGCAATACTCAAGTTCCGCACCACCAAACAACTATTTGTAACCACCCTTTTTCCTTTGTGAGGACATTGTCTGCTTTTTGGCACAGAATCTCACTTTGAGATGCCTCTGACTAATTTTGCCACTGACTTTCCTTTAAGTGGCTGATCTTCTTGCCTGATCGTCTCTCAGCTTTGCGAATTTTCCCTTTGCCCAATTTAGACCTCTTACTCCAGTGCTATCTTTGTCCTCTTCATCATGCTGCTAAATCTAACTAGATCATGATCACTATGTCCAAAAACGTTCACCCACTGCTATTTCATCTGGACAAAATCTAGACTTGTATGCCCTCTCTCATAGGACTCGATATGTGCTGGTAAAGCAGTTCTCTTGTGGTGTAGTGGTAGTGTCCCTGCGTCTGAGCCAGGAGGCCTAGATTCAAGTCCCACTTGACCTATGTGTCATAGCATCTCTGAACAGTTGATTACATTTTTTTTTCACAACTTCTCTCGAATGCAGTTCAAGAATTTTGTGCTCCCCATGCTTTTCACACTGCCGTATCCCAGCTGACATTTAGATAATTTGAATTCTCCACCATTACTGCCCAATTATTTTTGCACTCAGAAATTTGCCACATATTTGCTCCTCTGACATTCACGCTGTTTGGGGATCTCTAGTCTAAACTCAGCAGAGTGGCTGCCCCTGACCTCAAAACATATGCCCTCATCTGATTTCTCACTGAGGACATCATCTTTCCTCACAGCTACATCTGATTCTGTAATCAGTCATGCTACCACAACCCACCCCTCCGCACCTTTTTAATCCTTTCATTACAGTGTCTGAAAACTCTATCTCCAGCAGTGTTGAGCTGCTGTCTTTAAGCTAAGGTTTCATTGTAGCAATGCTGCCATATGCCCTCAGCTTTATCCACTACACTCCCTGTGTTTGCGTATACCCGCTTTTGAACTGCTAAATTCCCATGCTGTGCCCTGTTTAACCTCCGTTTCCTTTCTTGTTGCTCGTTCAGTTTCTGCCTCCCTCTCCTTGATCTGAATTTGCAGCCAGCTTCCTATCCCTGTGCCAGTTTTAGTGGCACTGACAATCTCCCAGCCAGATACTTACCCAAGGCCTATTCAGGTGCACACTGTCCCGATTGTATGGGTCCTGCCTTCCCCAGCACGGCTCCCCTGTGCCAGCAGTCACCCCCACACGCCCCCGCCCCACGGCCCCAACACCAGTTCCCCAGCCACATGTTCCACCACTCAGTCCTCCTGCCCATGTAGCACTGGTGGTTATCCTGAGGTCACAGCTCTGCAGGTCCAGTCTTTCAGCCTCCTGAATCTAGCTCCCTGCAATCTGCCTATGACCCTCCTACAATCTCGTACCAATGTGGAACACCATTTCTTGTCACCTGCCACAGAAAGATGTCTGGCAGCTGCTCAGTGATATCCTTGATTTTGGCAGGTTTATGAAACTGAACTAGTCCCATTTCCCTGTGTTTCGCCCATATCCCTCTAAACCTTTCCTATACATGTACCTGTCCAAATGTCCTTTAAATGGTGTAACTGTACCTGCCTCTACCACTTCCTCTGGCAGCTCGTTCCATATATGCACCACCCTCTGTGTGAAAAAGTTGCCCCTCAGTTCCCTTTTAAATCTCTCCCCTCTCACCTTAACACTGTACCCTTTAGTTTTGAACCCTGCAAACCCTAGGGAAAAGACCTTTGCTATTCACCTTATCTATGCCCCTCCTGATTTTATAAGCCTCTATATGGTCATCCTTCAACCTCCAGTGCTCCAGGGAACAAAGTCCCAGCCTATCGCAGCTTCTCCTTATAACTCAAACCCTCCTGTCTGATAACACCTTTGTAAATCTTTTTTGCAACCTTTCCACTTTAATAACATCCTTTCTATAGCAGGGCAACCAAAATTGTTCGCTGTACTCCAAATGTGGCCTTACCAGTATCTTGTACAGCCGCAACATGATGTCTCAACTCCTGTCCTCGGTGCTCTGATCAATGAAGGCAAGTGTACGAAACGCCTTCTTTACCATCCTGCCTACCTGTCACTTTCAAGAAATCATGTAGCCTTCCAACTTGTCTCTGTTCATCAACACTCCCCAGGACCCTACCATTAACTGTTTTAAATCCTGCCCTGGTTTGACTTCATAAAATGCAACACCTCGCATTTATCTGAATTAACATCCGTCTGCCATTCCTCCACCCACTGGCCCAGATGATCAAGATCCCATTGTAATCTTAGATAACCTTCATCACTGTCCCCTATACCACCAATTCTGGTGTCATCCACAAACTTACTAACATGCCCCTTATACTCTAATCCAAATCATTTATATAAATGACAAACAGCAGTGGACCCTGCACTGATCCTTGCAGCACAGCACTAATCACAGGCTTTCTCTACCACCAGCCTCTGTCTCCTGCCATCAAGCCAATTTTGTATCCAACTGGCTAGCTCTCCCTGGATCCCATGTGTTCTAACCTTACTAACCAGTCTACCATGTGGAACCATGTCAAGACTCTTAATAATGTCCACCATTCTACTTCCATCTATCTTCTTGATCACCTCTTCAAAAAAAAAAATCAATCCAATTTGTGACACATGATTTCCTGCTCACAAAGCCATGTAGATTAACCTTAATCAGTCCTTGCCTTTCCAAATGCATGTAGATCCTGTCTCTCGGAATCCCCTCCAACAGTTTACCCACCACAGACGTTAGGTTCACCAGTCTATTTCCCCGGCTTAACCTCCCAGCCTTTCTTAAATATTGCCACAACGTTACCCAACCTCCAGTCTTCCGGCACCTCAGCCGTGGCTATCGATGGCACAAATATCTCAGCTAGGAACCCTGCAATTTCTTCCGCGGCTTCCTATACAATCCTGGGATACACTTCATCAGGTCTCAGAGATTTCTTTACCTTTAAGACTTCCGGCAGCTCTTCTTCTGTAATGTGGGCATGGCGTAATAGGAAATGTTTTGTCATTGAAGTTTATTTTGTTGAATGTTGGGAATGGGTATTGTTTCCTCCTCGGTTTCTGGGTTCCCAGGTTGAATGGGATGACGTGGATTTGGTGGGCTGTGTATCAGGGTGAGGGAGGTGAGGGGTACATGCCCTCTGCTCCTGTGTCACTGGGGGATATGGGCAGAGTGACTGTCTGTACTGGGACTACAGCCCAAGATGACGCTTCCTCTCTCCGAGGCTCCCATGGGGATCTGTGAGGGGCGCATTGCGCCCCATTGCCTCGCTGTTCCTAATCTCCCCTCCTCCCACCTCCTCCTCCCTATCTGAGGAGGTCTGGGATTGCTAGGTGTGGGATACCAGTCAAGAGGGAACAGCCCTACATTGCCAGCTCATGCTGACTGGAGGCATTAAAGGGGCATGCTCTTGTTCCTGCTGGCTCTGCCAAGCAAACTCCTCAACCCCAGGCACCCATCCTCTGTGCCCTGCTCTCTGGCAGAGCCAACCCCCTGGGGGACTTGTGGCCCAGGACCCCTCTCTCCACGCAGACTGGTACCTGTCGCCCGCTGATAGGGCTGGCTCAGCGTCAGGCAGGGGTTGAGCGAGTGGGCATAGCCTCTGCCTCTACCAGCTGGGCAGTGCCTCCCACTGAGCGGGTCTTACCAACCCTCTCCCCTTTGTGTCTCTGTGCTCCCCCTCCCAATCATTCTACCTCTCCCTGTCATTCCCATTCCCTCCTTCCCTCTCTATTTCTCCCTCTCGACTCTCTCGAATAAACAAAGGCTGAGGTGTGTAGAGAGCTCTCTATCTTTACCCAGCCATCCCATTCCTGTTACATCTAGCTCCTAGGCAGCAGAGTGCTCCCTGGCATCAGGGAGCACAGTGTGCCTCAATGCCAGTCCCTATGGGCAGGGAGATTTGGCGAGGATGGCATTTGGGGCTGAGGGAGGTCATGGTTGGGGGGCAGGGGTTGGGGTTCTTTTGTTTCTCTAAACTGGTGACTGAATGGTGGAGGCTCTCTTTCCAAGAGAGGGGAATCTGACCCTGTGCTCTCTGCCGGCCAGGATGTGACCAAACGTCTCTCCCTTCCTGCGGATCTCCGCCTCCCAGAGGCTTACCTCGAGAAATTCGCCACAAACAGTGCTCCTTTTGACAAACCCATGAGCCGCCGTCTACGGAGAGCATCCCTGGTGAGTGCAGCTCGCTGTGATTGGAGAGGGACCCTGGCTGAATAGGTGAGACTGGGAGAGGGAGAGAGAGGTATAGTCTTGGAGAAGGACAGAATGGCCTGTTAAAGCTGTTCATTTCAATTCAGGGTGTGGGACTGATTGGTTAGATGGGCCTCAGAGCTGGCACAGAATGGTCCCTGCTCTCTCTCATGTCCCTGTTGTAGTGTATTTATTGCCCATTCTGAAATGGGTGGCTGTCTTGGTCTTCTCAGGTGGTTAAGACTCTGCCACACTGTTGTGTGGTCTGGAGTCACACACCATAGAGTGGGACAAAGTCAGCAGAGCTGATTGTGATCACATTCTCCGCCAGGATTACTTCCCTGAGTATTAATTCTAGAGCCTGTCAATTCCAGTGACATTACAGACTGCTTGAAAAGCACATTGTCACCGGTGGGGGGGGGTCACACAGAATTGCGAGCAGAGTATTTCGAAGGACAGGCTATTGTGTAGCTGCTGTTTGGAATGGGAGTTACTCTGGTGGAAAGCAGCAGTTGGGGGGGGGGGAGGGTGGTACTGAGCACAGCACAGAAGAGGATAATGAACCATCCCTCCCTCTCCAAGGCTGCACAACTGTCACACGCTCACATCACTGCATTGTGAGCTGGTGTTGTTGATTCAAACTGAATGGACAAGCATTGTGTCCCATCCCAGTGTTGTGTACACACCAGTACTATACAGTCACTTGGACCAATGGTGTGTAACCAGTGTCATGTACTAGTGTTATAACCCCCACCCCATCACTACACCCTCCCCTCCGCCAATACACCCTCCCCTCCACCACAAAACCCTCTCACTACACTCTTCCCTTTGCCACTACACCTTCCCCCCC